TCATTTAAGAAAATAGGTAAATTTATTTTGGTAATAAAGGGGAAAAATAATATATGCATTTTAAAAATAACAAGCATAGTTTCCCAAATTTTAAATAATAAAGGGACTGCCAATTTAAATGTTTTGAGAGCTTTTAAAAAAGAAAAGTTGAAGGGTTATATAATTGTTTATTTTTTTAAATATAATAACCTTATTATTTGCAAAAAATTACTGAAGGAAGGAAGAATTTTGAAAAAAAGTTTTTTAAAAGTTGGTTTAATTGTTTCGAAAAAAAGTTTTTTAAAAATTAAGTATTAGAATTTTTAAAACAGAACCAGGAAATTAAAATTTTTTGGGGCATGTTATATTTTGTCCCTTTTATTTATCACGAAGTAGGGGATATTAAATTTTAAAAAAAAAAAAGGTTTATACCAAAAACAAATTTAAATATTTATTAAAACCAAACTTCAAAAAATTTTGGGGTACCCCCCTTTAATTGTGAATTGAATGTTTTTAAAAATGTTTCATGAAAGAAATTTTCTGATCCTGTTTAATGTTGAATATAATAAAGGAAAAAACTAAATATTTACTAAAGGAATCACAAAACAGTTTAACAAAGCTAAAACTGTATGAATAACCTAAAAAAAAAAGCAAAATGCACACATTAAGAAACAAATGGTAACTAAAATTATTCAAGAAGCATGATAATCTAAGCAATTTTGGCAGAAGGACATGCACAACATATATCAATCATATAGCAAATGAAACAATGCAACATCTACTGTTCTAAAGTTTAGCATGACAACAAATAACAAAGTTAAAGGTATAAAAATATATTGAATTAAAAAATCTTTTAAAAAGGAAATTACTGCTAAAAAAAATACTGTAAGCATAAGGTAACAATTAAAAAGAAGAGTAATGAAGAGGAATATAAAAAGAATAAGAATTACAAAAATATAGAGATAAACATAGAAAAGCACCATACAATATGGCATGAAAATAACAAAATGCCAACATCTGTGTTAATAGTACTGACGTGGCTGTTGTAAGAGTACAATATGCAAGTCTTCAGGCTACGTGCAGTGTTTGAGCTGTGAGGGCATGTTTACAACTTGACATTCTAAAAGTATATGTTACCCTGTTCACTTACGAGAAGTAGTCACCAATTTCTGCTGTACAGTGGTTTGTTGTTGCTGTGTGACGGCCGCCTGTTGTGTCATCTGCTGTACACGTTTTTGTTTCTCTACAGTGACTTGTTGTGATTGTTGTACCTCCTGCACAGCCTGCTGTGTTTGTTGGATTTGCTGAGTCACTTGTGTTTGTTCCAGTTGCTTAGTAACTTGCTGTTGCTGCATAATTGCAGCTTCTCTCTCAACAGTTTGTGTCATTTGTACCTCCTGTTGTTGAACAGCCTGCTTTTGTGTTTTCTGTTTAACAGTAATTACCTGTGTTGTTGTTTCACTTATAGTTTCCTTAGGTTCCTGTTCTACAGGTTCCTGCCTAATAACTTCCTCCACAGCCATAACCACAGTTGGTTGTTGAATAAGCGTAGTTTCCTGCATTACTTCAGGCTCTTGTACAACCTTAGCTGTGTCTGTTACCAACTTAATGGTAACATCTTCAGCAGATTCTGGTTGCTGTGTAATCACTGTCTCTTTATGTATAACTACTGGCTTTTTAATAACTGTTGTCATTTCCAAAACCTGTGGCTCACAAATTTCTTCAGCCTTTTCTGTGTGCACTGTTGTTACAACTTCTTTTAATACTTCTGGTTTCTCTTCAGCTATTATTTCTTGCTGTACAAGAGTGGGCTGTTGAATTATTGTTGTTTTCTCCATGACTGCAGGTATTTCAGAAATCTTGGCTATTTCCTGCACAACGTGGCTCTTCACCTCAGTAACTTCCTTTGTAATCTGAGGCTCTTGTATAATTACTTTCTCTTCATGTATAACTTGTGGTTCTTGTACAGTGACATGTTCTATAACTTTAGATTGCTCAGAGATAACAAACTCTTGTTGGCTTACTTGAGGCTGCTGCAAAACTGTGGTTTCCTCTGTATGTTGTACAGTGATCTGAGGCTTTAGTTTCTTTACAGTTTTCTTTTTTACCACTTTCTCTTTAGGTTGCTTAGTAACTGTTTCAGTGGTAACAATTTTTGTGATAATTTCTTCTTGTTGTAATGGTAGTGTAATCTGCTCTGTGGTTTCCTGAATAACCTTAGGTGTAATTTGTTGGATAACTTGAGGAGTGGGCTGTTCCTGGATAACTTGTGTCACCTGTGTCACCTGCTGTGTTGCCTGCATCTGGATGTCTGGTTTAGGTGCAGGTTCTGACACAACAGCAACACATTCTGCAATGGTTGTAGGTTGAGTATATTCAGTACCATGACGAGTCTGAATAAACTCTGCATAATCTTCTTGAGTCTTCTGTTGCTGTGTTGTCTGTGTATCAACTAGTTTTTGCGAAGGTTCTTTAATATGTTCCACCTTTTCAAGTACAATGTCTGATTGTTCTGTTTGTTTGACTTGTAACATCTGTTCTTTGGATTCCTGTAGAGCCAGTGCAGGCTTACTTTTTGGTTTGGTTTTGATCTTTCGTGTTGGTTTAGGTTCTGACGGTTTTGTTACAGGTTTTATTTCATCTAATTTTGGTGTTGGTTTTATTTCTTCTGGAACAGGTGTTGGTTTTATTTCTTCTAGAACAGGTGTTGGTTTTATTTCTTCGGGAATAGGTGTTGGTTTAATTTCTTCTGCAATAGGTGTTGGTTTTATTTCTTCTGGAACAGGTGTTGGTTTTGTTTCTTCTGGAATTGGTGTTGGTTTTTGTTCTTCTGGAACAGGTGTTGGTTTTTGTTCTGGAACAGGTGTTGGTTTTTGTTCTTCTGGAACAGGTGTTGATTTTATTTCTTCTGGAACAGGTGTTGGTTTTATTTCTTCTGGAACAGGTGTTGGTTTTATTTCTTCTGGAACAGGTGTTGGTTTTATTTTTTCTGGAACAGGTGTTGGTTTTATTTCCTCTGGAACAGGTGTTGGTTTTATTTCTTCTAGAACAGGTGTTGGTTTTATTTCTTCTAGAACAGGTGTTGGTTTTATTTCTTCTGGAACAGGTGTTGGTTTTATTTCTTCTGGAACAGGTGTTGGTTTTATTTCTTCTGGAACAGGTGTTGGTTTTATTTCTTCTGGAACAGGTGTTGGTTTTATTTCATCTGGAACAGGTGTTGGTTTTATTTCCTCTGAAACAGGTGTTGGTTTTATTTCTTCTGGAACAGGTGTTGGTTTTGGCTCTTCTGGAACAAGTGTTGGTTTTATTTCTTTTGGAACAGGTGTTGGTTTTAGCTCTTCTGGAATAGGTGTTGGTTTAGGTTTTTTAGAAATAGGTTTTGGTTTTATATCTTTTGAAACAAGTGTTGGTTTCACTTTTTCTGGAACAGGTGTTGGTTTTTGTTCTTTTGGTACAAGTGTTGGTTTTGGCTCTTCTGGTATAAGTGGTTTTATTTCTTCTGGAACAGGTGTTGGTTTTTGTTCTTCTGGAACAGATGTTGGTTTTTCTTTTGGTACAGGTGTTGGTTTTGGCTTTTCTGAAATAGGTGTCAGTTTTATTTCTTTTGGAACAGGTGTTGGTTTTACTTCTTCTGGAACAGGTGTTGGTATTTGTTCTTCTGGAACAGGTGTTGGTTTTTGTTTTTCTGGAACAGGTGTTGGTTTTTGTTCTTTTGGTGCAGGTGTTGGTTTTGGCTCCTCTAGAATAGGCATTAGTTTTATTTCTTTTGGAACAGGTGTTGGTTTTACTTCTTCTGGAACAGGTGTTGGTTTTTGTTCTTCTTGAACTGGTGTTGGTTTTTGTTCTTGAACAGATATTGGTTTTAGTTCTTCTGGAACTGGTGTTGGTTTTGGTTCCTCTGGAACTGGTGCTGGTTTTAGCTCTTCTGGAACAGGCATTGGTTTTATTTCTTTTGGAACAGGTGTTGGTTTTTGTTCTGGGGCAGTTGGCTTTTGTTCTTCTGGAATAGGTGTTGGTTGTATTTCTTTTAGAACAGGTGTTGGTTTTTGTTTTGGAACAGGTGTTGATTTTGGCTCTTCTGGAATAGGTGCTGGTTTTATTTCTTTTGGAACAGGTTTTGGTTCTTCTTGAATAGGTGTTTGTTTTTCTTCTAGAATAGGAGTTGGTTTTAGGTCTTCCATAACAGGTGCAGTTTGTTTTGCTGGAACAGGTGTTGGCTTATGTTCTGGATGAAGTGTTGGTTTTAGTTCTGGAACAGGTGTTAATTTTTGTTCTTCTAGAACAGGTGTTGGTTTTATTTCTTTTGGAGCAGGTGTTGGTTTTATTTCTTTTGAAGCAGGTGTTGGTCTTTGTTCTTCTAAAACAGGTGTTGGTTTTATTTCTTTTGGAGCTGGTGTTCGTTTTGGCTCTTCTGGAGTAAGTGTTGTTTTTTGTTCTTCTTGAACAGGTGTGGGTTGTAACTGTTCTGGAACAGGTTTTGGCTTTTGTTCTTGAACAGGTGTTGGTTTTTGTTTTTCTGGAACAGATGTTGGCTTTATTTCTTTTGGAACAGGTGTTGGCTTTGGTTCTTCTTGAACAGGTGTTGGTTTGTGTTCTTGTGAAACAGGTGTTGGTTTGTATTCTTGTGGAACAGTTGTTGGTTTTAGCTCTTCTGGAGGTGTTGGTTTTGGTCCTTCTGCAGGTGTTGGTTTTTCTTCATGAATAGGTGTTGTTTTTTGTTCTGGAACAAGTGTTCGTTTCATTTTCTTCGAAGCAGGTTTTGATTTTCGTTCTTTTGAAGGTGCTGGCTTTTGTTCTGGAACAGGTGTTGGTTTCTGTTCTTCTAGAACAGGTGTTGGTTTCTGTTCTTCTAGAACAGGTGTTGGCTTCTGTTCTTCTAGAACAGGTGTTGGTTTCTGTTCTTCTAGAACAAGTGTTGGTTTTTGTTTAAGATCAGGTGTTGGTTTTTGTTCTTTTGGAACAAGTGTTGGTTTTGGTTCTTCTGGAACAGTTGTTAGTTTGTGTTCCTGTTGAACAGATGTTGGTTTTGGCTCTTCTGGAGCAGGTGTTGGTTTTTGTTCTTCTTTAGTAGGTGTTGGTTTTTGTTCTTCTGGAACAGGTGTTAACTTTATTTCCTTTGAAGCGGGTGTTGGTTTTTGTTCTTCTGGAGCAGGTGTTGGTTTTTCTTCTGGAACAGGTGTTGATTTTATTTCTTTTGGAGCAGGTGTTGGTTTTATTTCTATTGGAGCAGGTGTAAGTTTTTGTTCTGGAACAGGTGTTGGTTTCTGTTCTTCTAGAATAGGTGTTGGTTTTTGTTCTTTTGGAACATGTGTTGGTTTTGGCTCTTCTGGAACAGCTGTTAGTTTGTGTTCCTGTGAACAGATGTTGGTTTTGGCTCTTCTGGAGCAGGTGTTGGTTTTTGTTCTTCTTTAGTAGGTGTTGGTTTTTGTTCTTCTGGAACAGGTGTTGTTAATTTTTTCCTTTGAGCGAGGTGGTTTTGTTCTGAGCAGTTTTGTTTTTCTTCTGGAACAGGTGTTGATTTTATTTCTTTTGGAGCAGGTGTTGGTTTTATTTCTATTGGAGCAGGTGTAAGTTTTTGTTCTGGAACAGGTGTTGGTTTCTGTTCTTCTAGAACAGGTGTTGGTTTTTGTTCTTTTGGAACATGTGTTGGTTTTGGCTCTTCTGGAACAGCTGTTAGTTTGTGTTCCTGTGGAACAGATGTTGGTTTTGGCTCTTCTGGAGCAGGTGTTGGTTTTTGTTCTTTAGTAGGTGTTGGTTTTTGTTCTTCTGGAACAGGTGTTGGTTTTGTTTCTTTTGGAGCAGGTGTTGGTTTTTGTTCTTCTGGAACAGGTGTTGTTTTATTTCTTTTGGAGCAGGTGTTGGTTTTATTTCTATTGGAGCAGGTGTAAGTTTTTGTTCTGGAACAGGTGTTGGTTTTGTTTTCTAGAACAGGTGTTGTTTTTGTTCTTTGGAACAGGTGTTGGTTTTTGTCTTCTGGAACAGGTGTTAGTTTTGTGTTCCTGGGAAAGTGTTGGTTTGGTCTTCTGGAGCAGATGTTGGTTTTTGTTCTTCTTGAGCAGGTGTTGGTTTATGTCTTTGGACAGGTGTTGGTTTTGGTTCTTTGGAGCAGTGTTGGTTTTAGTTCTTCTGGAACAGGTGTTGGTTTTATTTCTTTTGGAGTGGTTGGTTTTATTTCTTTGGAGCAGGTGTAAGTTTTTGTTCTGAACAGGTGGTTTGTTTCTGTTTTCTGACAGAGGTGTTGTTTTTGTTCTTCTGAACAGTGTTGGTTTTGGTTCTTCTGGAAACAGGTGTTGTTAGGTTTCCTGGAGGACAGTTTGGTTTTGGTCTTCTGGAGCTAGTTTTTGGTTTTTTGTTACTTCTTGGAGCAAGTGTTGGTTTATTTGCTTTGGAGGATGTGTTGTTTTGTTCTGTCTGGAGAGTGTTTGGTTTTTGGTTCTTCTGGAACAGTGTTGGTTTAGTTCTGTTGGGCAGGTGTGTGTTTTATTTCTGAGATGTGTCAAGTTTTTTGTTCTGGAACAGTGTTGGTTTTGGCTCTTTGGTAGCAGGTGTAGGTTTTTGTTCTGAAACAGGTGTTGGTTTTTGTTCTTCTGGAACAGGTGTTGGTTTTTGGTCTTCTGGAATAGGTGTTTGTTGTGGTTCTTCTGGAGCAGAAATTGGTTTAAATTCTTCTAGAGCAGTTGTTGGTTTAGATTCTGTTAGGGCAGATGTTGGTTTGAGCTTTGGAGCATGTGTTGGTTTGAGTTCTGCTGGAGCAGGTGTTGGTTTTGATTCTTCTGGAATAGGTGGTTTAATTTCTGCTGGAGCAGGTGTTGGTTGTGATTTATCTGAAATAGGTGTCAGTTTAGTTTCTGTTGGAGCAGGTGTTGGTTTTGGTTTTGCTGAAGCAGGTGTAGGTTTTGGTTCTGCTAAAGCAGGTGTTGATACAGGTTCAGCTGGAGCAGGTGTTGGTTTTGGTCTTTCTGGAGTAGGTGTTGGTTTAGGTTCTGTTGGAGCAGGTTCTTTTGGAGCAAGTGTTGGTTTAATTTCTGCTGGAACAGGTACTGGTTTAAATTCTGTTACAGCTGATGCTGGAGTGGGTGTTGGTTTGGGTTGTGCTGGAACAGGTGTTGGTTTAGGTTCTGTTGGGGCAGGTGCTGGCTTAGTTCCAACTGGTTTAAGTGCTTCTCGTGTTTGTGTAGTTTCTTCTGGCATACTTGGTGCTGCTGTTTTAGGTTCTGTTGGAGCAGGTGTTGGTTTGGCTTGATCTGGTGCAGGTGTCAGTTTTGTCTCTGTTGGAGCAGTTATATGTTTAAACTCAGATTTTGATTTAGGTTCAACAGATGCCAGTTTTGGTTTAGCTTTAGTTGTGAAAGGTGTCTTTGTAGATGCAGGTATTAGTTTTATTTCTGTTGGTGCAGGTGTTAACCCTGTTTCTGTTGGCAAATGTGTTGGCTTTGCTGGTTCAAGTATTAGCTGTGTTTCTGCTGGTGCAGGTGTTGGCTTTGCTGGTTCAAGCACTGGTTGTGGTTCTGCTGGTGCAAGTGTTGGCTTTGCTGGTTCAAGCACTGGTTGTGTTTCTGCTGATGCAGGTGTTGGCTCAGCTGGTTTGAGCATTGGTTGTGTTTCTGCTGGTGCAGGTGTTGGCTTTGCTGGCTCAAGCACTGGTTGTGTTTCTGCTGGTGCAGGTGTTGGCTTTGCTGTTTCAAGCATTGGTTGTGTTTCTGTTGGCACATGTGTTGGCTTTGCTGGTTCAAACATTGGTTCTGTTTCTGCTGGTGCATGTGTTAGTTTTGTATTTAACAGCTCAAGCACTGGTGCAGGCATTGGTTTTATTTCTTTTGATGCAAACACTATTTTTTCTTCTGCAGGTTCATGTGTGATCTCTGTCTCTGATTCCACAAGCATGGATTTTATTTCTGTTTGTGTACGTGTTGGTTTTATTTCTGCTGCAGGTGTTAGTTTTGTTTCTTCTAGTGCAAAAGTTGCTTTTGTTTCTTCTGCTGCAGATGTTGGTTTTGTTTCTACTGGTGCAGGTGTTGGTTTAATTTTTGATGGTGCAGATGTTGGTTCTCTCTCTGTTGGCACAAGTACAGGTTTTATTTTTATTGGTGTTTGTATTGTTTCTTCTGGTGCAGGTGTTGTTTTTGTTTCTGCTATTGCAGGTGTTGGTTTTGTTTCTTTTGGTGCAGGTGTTGGTTTTGTTTCTGCTGGTGCAGGTGTTGGCTTTGTTTCTGTTAGTGCAGATTTTGGTTTTGTTTCTTCTTGTGCAAATGTTGGTTCTGTTTTTGCTGATGTAGGTGTTGGCTTTGTTTCTGCTGGTGCAGGTGTTAGCCTTGTTTCTGCTGGTGCAGGTGTTGGCCTTGTTTCTGCTGGTGCAGGTGTTGGCTTTGTTTCTACTGGTGCAGGTGTTGGCTTTGTTTCTACTGGTGCAGGTATTGGCTTTGTTTCTATGAGTGCAATCATTGGCTTTGTTGCTGCTAGTGCAGGTGTTGGCTTTGTTTCTTCTTGTGCAAATGTTGACTCTGTTTCTGCTGGTGCAGGTGTTGGCATTGTTTCTTTTGGTGCAGGAGTTGGCTCTGTTTCTGTTAGTGTAGGTTGTTTTGTTTCTTCTGGTGAAAATATTAGTTCTGTTTCTGCTGGTGCAGGTGTTGGCTTTGTTTCTTCTGGTGCAAATGTTGGCTTTGTTTCTGCTGGTGCAGGTGTTGGCTTTGTTTCTGCTGGTGCAGGTGTTGGCTTTGTTTCTGCTGGTGCAGGTGTTGGCTTTGTTTCTGCTGGTGCAGGTGTTGGTTTTGTTTCTGCTGGTGCAGGTGTTGGCTTTGTTTCTGCTGGTGCAGGTGTTGGCTTTGTTTCCATTAGTGCAGATGTTGGTTCTACTTCTTCTTGTGCAAATGTTGGTTCTGTTTTTGCTGATGTAGGTGTTGGCTTTGTTTCTGCTGGTGCAGGTGTTGGCTTTGTTTCTGCTGGAGTAGGTGTTGGCTTTGTTTCTGCTGGTACAGGTGTTGGTTTTGTTTCTGCTGGTGCAAGTGTTGGCTTTGTTTCTGCTGGTGCAAGTGTTGGCTTTGTTTCTGCAGGTGCAGGTGACGGTTTTATTTCTGCTAGTACAGGTGTTGGCTGTCTTTCTTCTGGTCCAAATATTAATTCTGTTTCTTCTGGTGCAGGTGTTGCAAATGCTGGTGATGCAAATGCTGGCTCTGTATGTGCAGGTGTTGGCTTTGTTTCTGCTAGTGTAGGTGTTGGCTTTGTTTCTGCTGGTGCAGGTGTTGTCTTTGTTTCTGCTTGTGCAAGTGTTGGCTTTGTTTCTGCTGGTGCAGGTGTTGGTTTTGTTTCTGCTAGTACAGGTGTTGGTTGTGTTTCTTCTGGTGCAAATATTGGTTTTGTTTCTTCTGGTGCAGGTGTTAGCTTTGTTTCTGCTGGAGCAGGTGTTGGTTTTGTTTCTGCTGATACAGGTGTTGGTTTTGCTTCTTCTGGTGCAAAAGCTGGTTCTGCTTCTACTGGTGCAGGTGTTGCTTTAGTTTCTTCTGGGGCAAATGTTGGTTTTGTTTCTGCTGGTGCAGGTGTTGGTTTAGTTTTTTCTGGTGCAAATGTTGGCTTTGTTTCTGCTGGTGCAGGTGTAAGCTTTGTTTCTGCTAGTGCAGGTGTTGGTTTTGTTTCTTCTGGTGCAAAAGTTGGTTTTGTTTTTGCTGGTACAGGTGCTGGTGTTGTACCTGCTGGTGCAAGTGTTGGTTTTGTAACTGCTGGTGCAGGTGTTGTTTCTGTCTCTGTTGGTATAAGCACACATTTTATTTTTGTTTGTGTAGATGTTGGTTTTGTTTCTAATGGTACAGGTGTTGGCTCTGTTTCTGCTAGTGAAGGTGTTGGTTTTGTTTCTGCTAGTGAAGGTGTTGTTTTTGTTTCTGCTGGTGCAGGTGTTGTTTCTATTTCTACTGGTGCAGGTGTTGTTTCTGTTGGCACAGGTGTTGTTTTTGTTTCTGCTGGATAAAGTGTTGGCTTTGTTTCTCCTGGTGAAAGTGTTGGTTTTGTTGCTGCTGGCACAGTTGCTTTTGTTTTTGGTGGTGCAGGTGTAGGTTTTGTTTCTGCTGGTACAGGTTTTGGTTTTATTTCCCCTGGTGCAGGTGTTAGTTTCGTTTCTGCTGGAGGTGTTAGTTTTTTTTCTCTTGATGCAGATGTTGGTTTGGTTTCTGCTGGCACAGGTGTTTTTGTTTCTGGTGGTGCAGGTGTTGGTTTTGTTTCTGTTGGTGCAGGTGTTGGTTTTGTTTCTGCTGGTGCAGGTGTTGGTTTTGTTTCTGCTGGTACAGGTTTTGGTTTTCCTGGTGCAGGTGTCTGTTTTATTACTGTTGGCACAAGTGTTTTTGTTTCTGTTGGTGCTGGTGTTGGTTTTGTTTCTCCAGGTGCATGTCTTGGTTCTGTTTCTGCTGGTACAGGTGCTTTTGTTTCTGATGGTGTAGGTGTTAGTTTTGTTTCTACTGGTGCTGGTTTTGCTTCTGGTGGTGCAGGTGTTGGTTTTGTTTCCCCTGGCACAAGTGTTGGTTTTGTTTCTCTTGGTGCATGTGTTGGTTTTGTTTCTGCTGGCACATATGATGGTTTTGTTTCTGTTGGTTCAGATGTTGGTTTTGTTTCTGCTGGTGCAGGGGTTGGTTTTGTTTCTGCTGATACAGGTGTTGTTT